GGCATTAGTGTCTGGTTACTGCTGTAACATTACCACAGATTTTTGTGGCTTAAAATAACACAACTTTATGGCAATACAGTTCTGGGCTAAAATCAAGGCCTTAGCAGGGGTATGTTTCTACTGGGGGTTCTCAGGGAGAATTCATTTCCTTGCTTTTTCCAGCTCTCAGAGGATGCCCACATGCCTTAGCTTTTGGCCCCCTTTCATCTTCTATGGAGCCCTGGTGGCTTAGTGGTTCTGTGTTGGGCTGGGGGCGGAAGGGTCAGCAGTTCAAAACCTCCAACCTTTCCAAGGGAGAAAAACAGGTTTTTATGCCGGCAAAGAGTGGCAGTCTTGGAAACCCACAGGGGCCATTCTGCCCTGTCCTACAGGGTCACTGTGAGTGGGTGTGTTAGACCAGATTGACTAGAAAAGTAAATTCAGTGACATACACGTGTGTGTAAGAAAGAGCTTTACTGTATATACTTGTGTATATGCCAAGTTGTCAGCACATTCTTTATGCAGTTTTTGTGGTAAAATTAGGTGCCTTGGCTGATATTTGGGTCAGTTTATATTCAAGTGTATGCGGTATATCAAAAAGTTTTGTATATCAGAAAAAATATTCCAGCCCAGTCCAACTCAATCCATAAGTCCCTCTTCAGACTGCAGTGATGCAGAATGCAGGAGGACCACGGGCCAGTGGGTGCAAGGTCATGTGTGTCCGATGGTGTAGTTCATTTCAGGGCTCTGGCGGGTCTTAAAAAGTGGCTCACTGGCATGACGGTGAAGGCAGAGAGAGAGAGAAGGTTCCCAGGATCCTCCTTAGGAGAAGGCCATGCCCACAAAGAGGTATCATCAGGCTGTGACCTGATTGACAGGCTGGACTCCACCCGTGCACTTCTACCTATCAAGTTGACATGAAACTATGTGACTACCACAGTGGGCATGGGCTCCAGTGCTGCGTGTTCGGTTCTTGGTTGTTGTCTCTGACAGCAGCAATCCCACCACTCTGATTACATCGGGCCCACCCAGGTCACCCGCACCTCAAGATCTTTAATTTCATCGCATGTGTCATGTCAAGTAATATATTTGAAGAAGGTCTGGCTATTGGGATATGGGCATCTTTTGAAGGAGGAAAGGGGTTACTATTCTGCCTATCATACAGTCTAATAGGACAGACACAAACATTCAGTAGAGGAGGAAACACATATGAATCTAGTATCAGTGAAATACAGATTAATCACAATGAAATGCCATCTCACACTCGCCAGATTGGAGAAATTATTTTAAACTGACAACAAAGCATTGACTGGCGAGAATGAAGAGCAAAGGGAACTGTTGCAAAAGTAGAAATTTGTAAAACAATTGGGCACTATTTTTTTTTCCAAATCATTTTATTGGGGACTCGTACAACTCTTATCACAAGACATACATCCATCTATTGTGTCGGGCACATTTGTACGTCTGTTGCCATCATCATTCTCAAAACATATTCTTTCTACTTGAGCCCTTGGTATCAGCTCCTCATTTTTCCCCTCCCTCCCCACCCTGGAAGAAGAGCAGAGATGTTACTTTGAGGACGACTAAGGCGCTCCAGCCCCAACCTGTGCTCTTTTCGATCGCCTTATGTGAACATAAGAAAGGCTGCAGAAGCATTGATGCCTTTGAATTATGGTGGTGGTGACGCATATCGAAAATACTGTGACCTGCAATTGGGCACTATTGAAGGGAGTCCCGGTAGCTCTGTGATTAAGCACTTGGCTGCTTATCAAAGGGTCTGTGGTTCAGACCCCACCAGGCTGCTCCATGGGAGAAAGACATGGCAGTCTGTCGGAGTAAACAGGACAGCCTTGGAAAGCCTAGGTGGCTTTTTAAGCTAGAGGGTCAATTTTTATTTCGTTTTTTTGTAAATCATTATATTGGGGGATCTTACAGCTCTCATAACAGTCCACATATCCATCGTGTTAAGCGCATTTGTACCTATGTTGCCGTCATCAGTTTCAAAACATTTTCTATCTACTTGAGCCCTTGGTATCACCTCCTCATTTCCCCCACCCCCCACCCACTCACCCTGGTGACCCCTTGATAAATGATTATTATTTCCATATCTTACATCATCCATCACCCACGTCCATTTGTATCCTATAGGGTCACAGCCACTCTGAGTTGGCATGGGCTCGTGGCGCGCAATAGCAGCAGTAAGATTGAACACGTGTGTACTTTACAACTCAGAAACTCCACTCCAGGGTACAGACTGGAAACACCTGGAGGAGACAAGTGGCTCATAAATAGGAGCCTCTCTAAGCGGAACATACCGGGTCCTCCTTGCCTTTCAAGACTCTAAAGAGGTCGTGTGCCTTTTGCTCTCTTGGCTGCTGCTTCCAGGAGCACAGACCTTGGGTCTGCAGCAGGTGTCTAGAGGAAGCATCACATGCTGCTCCGCTGAGGTCTTCCACGCAGCACCTGGCAACCTGCAGCTCTCTGCTGCTATCTGAAAGTAGAATGTTTGCATGAAGCCCTTTGCAAGCCCCAAACGGTGTGTAGGGAAGAAGCATTCATTAAATGGAAAACCATTTTGAGAACACACACACACACACACACACACACACACACACACACAATCACCTACCATGTCATAGCAATGAACACATGACACTGAAGAGAACTCAGACATCAGGTGTTGGCACACAGTCCAGGCTACAGCGGACCGAGGCTGAGATGCCCAGTGTCACTCAGGAAGGTCTTGGTAATGCAAAGCTTCCAAACAAAGGCTGGCTGCTAGTCTCACTTTTCACCTTCTCCCCCCAACGTGAACATCCTCTTGGGGGTTTCTGTCTGCTAGGAGAAACAGGTACTATTGGAAGTGTTTTGTAAAAGCAAAGTGGAATCAAGTGAATTTGAAAGTGGGGGGTGGGGCAAGGAAGGGAACAGAACTGTTTTAATGACCAGGGGTTCTTAGTAAAATCTCAATTCTTATTCGGTAGGTCAGGTATAGGGCCTGAGCTTCTGCATTTTGAGCAAGCTCCCTGATGGTCCATAGGTTACATTTCGAAGAAGAGGGTTCTGTGGTATCAGGAGCCCTGGTGGAAGTGGGTTACAGAGTCAGGTCGGCAGTTCTTGAGAGAAAGATGAGGCTTTCTGCTTCCATAAAGAGCTATAGTCTTAGAAACCCGCAGGGACAGTTTTATGTTCTCCTATAGGGTGGCTATGAGTCGGGATTGACTCAAGGGCCATGCATTTTGAGACGCATATTCAGGAATAGAAAGAGCCCCTGGTGGCATCATGGTTACTCTATTGGGCTGCAGTCTCAAGGTCTGCAGTTCGAAACCATCAGCCACTGTGTGGGAGAAAGATGGCCTTTCTACTCCTGTAAACCGTTACCGTCTTGGCAACTCAGAGGGGCAGTTCTGCCCTGACCTAGAGGGCCATGATGAGATCGCATCACTCCATGGCAATGAGTTCTCAGTGCTATTATTTGTGATTCTTATTATTATTCAGGAATGTGGCTGATGGACTCATGTGGCTCACATTGCAGTTGGCAGCCCATCATGTAGTCCAGCATCCCACCAGGGCTCCTCATAGGAATACAGATACAGTGGTAAAACCGTTTTTCTTTTTAACCAAAAATGTGACTTAAAAAAAAAGTGACCAATAAAACAATGGGGGAGGAGAGACATTTGCCTGTGGAGGAGACAAGGGCTGGAATAGTTAGGGTGACATTTTCTTAAACTAGCTGTTGGATTCATGAACTTGCAGTATACCTTATAACTGACATATATATTATGTTCCATATAGAAAACGTATTTTAAAAAATTTTTAAGTGTATAAAATAGAACTGTAACCAACAGAAAAATCTAGGTGGCACCCTCACCCTCAAAAAAAAAAAACCCCAAAAACTTTCACTGCCATTGAATCAATGCGGACTCATAGTAACTACTTAGGGGGAGTAGAAAGCTCAGTCTTTCTCCCGCGCAGCTGCTAGTGGTTTTGAACTGCTGACCATGAGGATGGCAGCTCCACCACCAGGGCTCCACCACCAGGA